TGGAGGTTCGCAACATCATTCTCATAGTGAGTCAGTATAAGATCTAGTAAGGATGATTCAGTGTCCAGATTGTACCTTGTCGCTTCTTTCACATGTTGCACTAGGGCACATGTGATAACCCCATCAACTAGTTCCTGACCGAAAGAATTCTCTGACAATTTAGTTCGCAGATTTTCCCAGTCTACCATAGGTGCATTAAAGTTCCTAAGGATTAGACATCGACCACTTTGTGACCAAGTATTGAGACTGCTTAGCAGTACTTCATTTACCTCACAGCTTGGACTGCGATAGACCAAACCAATCAGCAGCTCTTGTCCCTTGCATTTCAAGCGAAGACTAACTAATTCACACAACACACTCTCATGGGATACACTATCAAGTTCCATAATATCTATAGCCTGTGTCAGCCAGGTTTCTGTGACTGCGAGTATGTCTGGCTTTATAGAGTCAATCTGTACACCTAGTTCCGATCGCTTATTAAGTAAGCTTCGTGCATCGGTGTAAATCCGCCTGGAGTCCCTCCGGGGGCTACTGCCGGTCCCAAGCCCGGGTAAAGGGGCAGGGTTGGGCATGGGGTTAGCGTCCCCATCCCGTAGAAAACTAACTCGCTGAAAAAACGCTAATCAGAAAAAATTATTAAAACCTTTTAAACTCTGCCCTGGGAGTCAGAAGGTCTTCATTTAGAAGAATTATGACGCCTCATGATGAAAGCCGAATTCCTTCGGAAGTTACGAGGCCGATGCCCCTTCTGACAACCAGAGCGACCATTTATTTAGGTACATGGAATGTTCGTACAATGTGGGACACCGGGAGAGCCTTCCAAATTGCTGCAGAAATGAGGAGATACAACCTAGAGGTACTTGGGATCAGTGAAACACATTGGACACAAGTTGAACAACAACGACTAACTACAGGAGAGCTCCTGTTATACTCCGGTCATGAAGAAGAAAATGCACCACATACACAAGGAGTTGCATTGATGCTGTCCAAACAAGCGCAAAATGCACTTATACGATGGGAATCTCATGGACCAAGGATCATCAAAGCCTCGTTCAAAACAAAGAAAGGGGGTATTTCAATGAACATCATCCAATGCTATGCGCCTACCAACGACCACAATGAAGGCGTTAAAGATCAATTCTACAATAGGCTGCAGTCAATCATCGAGAAGTGCCCAACAAAGGACCTGACCATTCTGATGGGAGATTTCAACGCCAAGGTTGGAACGGACAACACTGGATATGAAGACATCATGGGACGACACGGACTGGGAGAAAGAAACGAAAATGGTGAGAGATTCGCAAATCTATGTGCCTTCAATAAACTGGTCATAGACGGCACCATATTCCCACATAAACGCATACACAAAACCACATGGACTTCACCGGATCACTCTACACAAGACCAAATCGACCATATTTGCATCGACAAAACGTTCAGGAGGACTATAGAGGACGTGGGAACCAAGAGAGGAGCTGATATAGCATCAGATCATCACTTGCTGGTCGTCAAGATGAAGTTGAAACTCAAGAAGTACTGGACAATGAGGCGGATAACATCACGAAAGTTGGATACAGCTTTTCTTCAGGATACTGACAAATTCAAGATAGTCTTCAGCAATAAGTTCCAGGCCTTTCATGATCTACTCATTGGAGAAGGAAGTACTATGGAGAGCAACCGGTAAGTGATAAAGGAGGTAGTCACTTCAACATGTCGTGAGGTTCTGGGTCACAAGGAATGGATCACTGTCGATACACTGGATAAGATTTAAGAAAGGAGGAACAAGAAGGCAGCAATCAAGACCAGTCGAACAACGGTAGAAAAAACCAAGGCACAAGCTGGATACACAGAAGTAAACAAGCAAGTGAAGAGGAGCATCAGAACCGACAAACGTAAATATGTGGAAGATTTAGCAACGATGGCGGAAAAGGCTGCAAGAGAAGGAAACATGAGACAATTGTATGACACGACAAAGAAACTCTCTGGAAATCGCCGCAAACCAGAACAACCAGTGAAAAGCAAGGAAGGCGAGGTAATCACCAACATTGAAGAGCAACGAAACAGGTGGGTAGAACACTTCAAAGAACTCTTGAATCGACCAGCTCCACTGAACCCACTCAACATCGAAGCAGCACCCACGGACCTCCCGATCAATGTTGGCCCACCAACTATTGAAGAAATCAGCATGGCCATCAGGCAAATCAAGAGTGGCAAAGCACCAGGACCAGACAACATTCCAGCAGATGCACTAAAAGCAGACGTAGCAGTAACTGCAAGGATACTCCACATTCTCTTCAATAAGATTTGGGATGAAGAACAAGTAATAAAAGACTGGAAAGAAGGACTTCTGATCAAAATACCGAAGAAAGACGATCTCAGCAAGTGTGATAACTACAGGGGCATCACTCTTCTCTCAATACCGGGAAAAGTCTTCAACAGGGTATTGTTAAACAGGATGAAGGACTACATAGACGCTCAACTTCGTGACCAACAGGCAGGATTCCGTAAGGATAGATCGTGTACAGACCAAATCGCAACTCTACGGATCATTGTGGAACAGTCAATTGAATGGAATTCATCGCTCTACATCAACTTCATTGACTAAGAAAAAGCATTTGATAGGGTGGACAGAACAACACTATGGAAACTTCTTCGACACTGCGGCGTGCTTCAGAAGATAGTCAATATCATACAGAACTCATATGGTTGATTAAACTGCAAAATTGTGCATGGAGGACAGTTGACAAAGTCGTTCGAAGTGAAGACCGGTGTTAGGCAAGGTTGCCTACTCTCACCCTTTCTCTTTCTCCTGGTGATCGACTGGATCATGAAGACGTCAACATCTGAAGGGAAGCGCGGGATACAATGGACATCTATGATGCAGTTGGATGATCTAGACTTCGCAGACGATCTGTCCCTTCTATCCCAAACGCAACAACAGATGCAGGAGAAGACGAACAGTGTGGCAGCAGCCTCAGTAGCAGTAGGTCTCAATATACACAAAGGGAAAAGCAGGATTCTCCGATACAACACAGAATGCACCAATCCAATCACAATTGACGGAGAAGATTTGGAAGATGTAAAAACCTTTGGATATTTGGGCAGCATCATTGATGAGCACGGTGGATCTGATGCAGATGTGAAGGCGCGGATCGGCAAAGCAAGAGCAGCATATTTACAACTGAAGGAAATCTGGAACTCAAAACAACTCTCTGTCAAACGACACCAAGGTCAGGATTTTCAATACAAATGTCAAGACAGTTCTACTGTATGGGGCAGAAACCTGGAGAACTACCAAACCATCATCCAGAAGATACAAGTGTTTATTAACAGTTGTCTACGCAAAATACTTCAGATCCATTGGCCGGACACTATTAGCAACAACCTACTGTGGGAGAGAACAAACCAGATCCCAGCGGAGGAAGAAATCAGGAAGAAGCGCTGGAAGTGGATAGGCCACACATTGAGGAAAGCACCCAACCGCATCACAAGACAAGCCCTCACATGGAATCCTGAAGGCCAAAGGAAAAGAGGAAGACCAAAGAACACATTACGCCGAGAATTGGAGATAGACATGAGAAAAATGAACAAGAATTGGATGGAACTAGAAAAGAAGGCCCAGGATAGAGTGGGTTGGAGAATGCTGGTCAGCGGCCTATGCTCCATTGGGAGTAACAGGCGTAAGTAAAGTAAGTGCATTGGTGTAACAGATCCGAAGCCTGTTCAAGTGCCTTCGTGCTTCACCCAGAGTGGCTTCGGCATCATTCTCTGTCAAAGCCTCACAACCCGAAAATTTACAATTTTCAGGTCCTTTTCGCCAGCGTCTAACCTAAGTTGTAGTTCTTTTTCGGCTTCCGGTCTTTTGACACGGTTTGCCAACGGTAAGTCCTTTCGGATAAAGACTCCTGAACCCTTTAATTTGCGTTCATTCTGTAAAATTGCGTCACGTTCGTTCGAAGAAATGAATACTACTTTAGGCAGTCTGGAATGATTTGGTTTCGAGTCCGCTAGACTCCCTAGTCTGTACACCTTTAGCAAGGTGACCCCGGTCATATTTTGAGGCATGAGTTTATTAAGCAGCTGCTTAATCAGCACAATGTCATGCTCAAAACGAGCTTTAGGTTCAGAGCTATCGCTCTCCTAGACGCCATGAAAAATAGCTGATCTGTCGCTATGATCAGCTTTCGACTTTACGACTACATTTGCGGGGTAGGATTACCTTATATATCGCTACTTTTTTCTTCCTCACAACCTGTACCCATTCGTCAACGGTGCTGGGAGAAGCAACAACAGTTGCGTCAAACCTAGTGTTGGATTCTGGGGGATTGTCGACGAACTGAAAAGTCAGGTTATGTTTACCGCTTGAAACCGATCGAGGCTTGCGATTGCGGCTTCTAGGCGTTTCCTGTTGGATCCCATCTGGGGGACGGAGAACAGAAGAACCAACTTTCCTCGAGCTTTTGTTTAAGGCAGGCCCCTTTTGAGACTGCTTTTCCTTCTTTGACGGGCGTGAGTCATCTATTATCGAAGTAACCTTAGTTTGCTTCATGTCGATTTGCGTGTCGACAGATCGAGTGCTGTTTGACGCGTTCCGACTATGCTTGCTAAAACACTTCATTGCAGCATCAACCAGTGAGATGGCCTCGGTTAACAAGCTGTTTGCATCCGAGCAGCACTGTTGACAAAGCCATACACAACCCTTCTTACTGAACCGTTTGAAAGCAGCAGGTGTTAAGTTCGTTCAAACTTCGTGGTACCAGCCTTTGCACTCGTCGCACTGCATGCCGCTTTCGACGAGACATTGACAACCCGGACGTTGGTAACTGCTTTTTTTTTACATTGTTAGCTAATCGCAGGGTTATTGTTTATTGGATCAGTCATTCAGATATTTTAAAAGACTAAGCACTCATCATAATCCATACTCTTATTACCAGAAATAATCAGTAAATTATATTGTTTAGCAGGTTTTTGAAGCTTGAATGAAATTACATGCATCCCTTTGTTTCTGGTGAAGGACGGTGGGTGGTTTGTGTGTCCTAGGTCACTACGTCTAGACAGTCGTGTTTATGGCTCGTTCCAGAGCTCCTTCGTCTTGCTTTGGAGCCAAAAAGCAAAGGTTGGATGAGGAATCAACATCACGACCATGCGTTCCTCGTAATGGCCTTAGCACACCTGGGGTTGTTAGACATGAAATGTGTTACTTTTGCTTTGACGTCCTTCACAACCATTTGCGTAATATTGAACCTCCCCCTGCCCCCAAGACATTTCCAAACAGCTCTTAGTAAATTAAAGTCTTACTCATTTACCTGTAGTCCGCTTTTCGTGACATGGACGTACGGAAAAGAGGAAAAGCTGCGTGGATGTATAGGTACTTTTACTGCTATGAATATCCATAGCGGTCTTCGTGAATATGCGATTAACAGGTTTATTTATATTTTCCTAATATTTTAAATCTTTCAGTGCCATCAAAGACAGTCGCTTTTCACCAATAACAGAAGAAGAGTTTCCTCATCTCACATGTTCAGTCTCCTTGCTTTTGAATTTTGAAGAGGGGAAAAACTATCAGGATTGGCAGGTTGGTTTATATTTACGTGTCAAAATCAATAGCTTAGGGTTTTTGATTCAGTTACGTGTGTACAAACCCCCCATATGTCTTGACTTTTCCCGAACTATAGGTGCTGAATCATTTTATGATTGGCTCGTCCATAAATTATAGTCTCATCGGACTGGTTATGCCTAGTAATAAACATATTCGATTAAGTTCGTTTTTCATCGAGCCTTATACTTCGTGTAAAAATTTAGACTGCCGATTTTATCAAACGTTAGTACACAAGATCTCAAACTTCAACCTAATTGTTTCAAGTTAATTGCTTTAGCCACCAAGCAACTGATCTTTGTCGTTAAGCTTTTCGTAATGCCTAAATACCCGTCCCTTTATTTCCATCATGCCTAACCGGGTTGTCTATTAGAGTTACACGATGCAATACTTTATTATTATCCATATTTCAATTTATATCATGTACGTGAGTATAACTCGGTAACAATGTTTAGGTTGGTGCAGTAGATCTTTAAGTTTGCTTTTTATTAGGGCTAATATTACTCAGCCGCTCGGATCGATAATGATGAGTCGAACTCCCGAATCGTGATTCAGTAACTGGGAATTTTGTACCCAAACTTTCCAACCATTACTCCTGTAATCAAGAGTGATGCCAGTCAGTTATAAACGACGTATGATCTAGCAAAAATATGCATCTATCCTAACTACTACATTCTAAATTAGTTCGTCAAAATGGAACTTCAGAGGAGAGAACTTAATTTCGACGGAAACAAATTCTCAAACATCAGAGATGAGTTTCAAAATAAGGTAATCTGGTCAAAAGATAAGGCATGGCATTTAATTCAAGATCTCAAGGAAGACAAGAACTAGATAGAACTAATACATCGATTTCGCACCATTATCCAACAAGTGATTGAAATTATTGTACAGGGCTGAATCAGAAAGTGCGCGTACTGATATAGCTTAGACCAGTAGCTAATAGCGTCGTGGATTAATAACATGTTGATCTCTTCAATCCTAGTTTTTTTCCAGCCTACTTGCATGTCAGTCATCATTGGACATGTAAGTGGGCGTTGGTAAGACATACGTAAGCAACTACCTCAATCACTGATAATTTTTAGCGTTATCCATGGACTTAATATTTACTTCACTGGTATAATCGCAAAATTCTCATTGTTTTTCTAGAAATCATTACCAAATGAGTAATGAGTATCCCACCCCAATTGGCTAGTAGACTGTTCTGTGTATATTGAATTTGATTGGCTGTTGTTAACGCTTGTTTCTGACGTTTTTACCTAGTACTTTGAGCCTAACTTTCTTCATCTAGTTATCCCACTGTACATGAGTAATGGGTCAGAAATTCTTATGATCAAGTATGCGCAACCTACATAAGTTCTGTTATTTCTAAGACCACGCTTCACACGCATTTGGTACTAAGTAGTGTACTGCATTGTAGTTATACCCTCTCTCTGATAGACAAACACCTTTTCTAGACCACATGTAGTACGAGCTGACTTGATTAGTCTACTGAGCCTGGCTTATGGTTTTTCATGTAATTAATAATCCCATTAATCTATTACAACCAATGTAATTATCTGTAAAAATAATTTCGTTTTGTTTTCGCTCGTTGGAAAATACAGATGTTTAAAATTGAGTAGTAATCTGTACTTTCTTATTGCCTAAAATAGATTGGTGTTCATGGAATTCGAATTGAATTTGTTAATGAAAAGGGATATCATCGCACTGCTACGTATTTGCCTGAAGTTGCCTACAAACAAGGTGAGGCTCAAACTTTTTCTAACTTTGAGAGATAGCTAAGTACTTTTATTGCATTTCAGTAAAAAGTCTCAATCGATTTATTACATGTTCTAGGGTTTAGCCGATTTTGTATGGTTAACGATTCCCCTCCTGACTTTCTTATTTTGTAATATACAAGCCACCACATCCACGTCATCTATAGATTAATTGTTTAGGAATGTTAAGAATTTTACATCTGTAGGTCGTATCAGACAACGGTTGGATGTTTGAATAGATCTAACATCTTCGTCCTAATATTCAAATGAAATAATCAATTATTACCGTTATAACTTATTAATTATGACCTGTATTTTACTGAGCTGCTACCTTGACGCGGTGGTCGGGCTTGCCTTTCGTGATGACCTAACCGAGCTATATTGGCTGGAACATATGTTCCTGTAGGTTCTACCATGCCAGGCAGGTCGATTGGTGAACGGTAAGACTAAAAGCAGCAACTCAAGGTCTGAAGGCGAAGTCGTACTGCTGACTGTAGAGAGGTGTGACAGCAGTAAGGTGTTTCCCTCGGACAACCCGCATCTGCAGCGATGCTGCCTTCCCACAAGGAGGGGTGGAATTAGAAAAGGTCGACCCTAAAAATGTCACACCTCACCTTACCTCACGGATTTCCGTCTCCGGCTGTAAGGCCCTTTGAAGAACGGGGCCAACACATTAAAAACCTTCCCCGAAAGGCCGTGCGCGACCGGCCTCAATCAGTTGTCCCTTGGGCTCTGCGGCCACGCTCCCAGGTCGTCAAGACCAACACTAATCTAATTTCTTTTTCAGGTTCCTCAAGAAATACCCTTTGACGGTGTGGGCAGCTGGGAAGTGACATCAGCCCTCATACCCGTAACAGCACACGAGATCGAGTTGGTCGCACTCAAATCCTTTCTACACTTCCTAATACCTCTCTTATCTCCATGACTAACCATTCTCACGTCCGTTTATCACCTCGCACCGCTAGGGCAAGCGACTTGAGTACGCTGAACGTTATTCCTGTTCTGAAACCACTCTCTAAACTACATGTTATATCTCTTTTCTTACGGTTATGACCCAGCTATTCCTATTGCTTAGTATTCTCGGACACCAATTCACTCGACAAGTCCCCAAATCAAAACACGGTTGAACAGGAAGAGATTATATTCCAAATAACAAGGTTAGATGGAAGAGAAGCAAGTCAAAAGCACAATAGGGAAAACGTCAGTATATTTATAGTTTTTACATAAGAAGATTCCAGAGTATTCTCCAACCATCGACTAGTGCTGATTGGACAGAATTAGCCAATCAGCGTGCACCAAAGCAATCATGCATTGAGCATGCTTTAATCCAGTTTATATCCCGCTAACACCTCCCCTTTGAGCAGATTCGTAGGATCTGGTGCTAGGGTCCAACTGCAACCGAATGACTGGCCTGTGCTTTCGATTAGTCCATCGTCTAGGCAATAGAAAGTATAACTCTTTTCTTGCACAGAAACTGACGTCTATTCCCGGCGTTTTGATTTCAAAGGTGTCTAGCAGAACATCAAGAGGTAACCGATATTGAATCTTGTTGCTGGCTATCGAAGTTGCTTTCAATTGGTTAGCATGACGTACCCAAACTTCCGAGCCAACTGACACCTCGTAAACCACACTCCCCTTCTTTTTCAAGATCCGACCAGCTGTCCATGTAGGATGTTTCCCACGATAGTCCATACCAAGCACTTTTTGTCTCACCGTGAACAATCGTCTTTGTGCCCCATGATGTCGGTTAAACTGATTCTCCATCGATAGGTTTCGTTGGGGTTCAATAGCTGGCGTAGGACGGATGACATCGAAATGTGTTCGTATCTTTCTGCCAAGTAGAGCTTCTGCTGGAGAGACCCCGTTAATTGTCTGAGGGTTCGGTGTAGAGCGATAAATAAACAGGAACCTCTCTAAGATATCTTCAGTGGTCCCTTCCCCTTTGGATTTTTTTAGAGCATTTTTAAATGTACTCACAAAGCGTTCCACTTGGCCATTTGATTGGGGATGGAATGGAGGTGTTCAGAGGTGCTGGATTCCGTTCTGCCGACAAAATTGTGAGAAGATTTCGGACGTAAACTGTGTTCCGTTGTCACTAACTATCAATTCCGGGATTCCAAAACGACTGAATAGTTGACGTAGTTTACTGACTGTGCAGCTTGCAGTCGGGTGTTCCATTAGAAAAATTTCTGGCCACTTGCTATATGCATCAACCACCAAAAGGTAAGTTTGTCCATGAAGTGGACCAGCAAAGTCCAAATGTATACGCTGCCACGATAACTGTGGTATTGGCCATGATTGCAGCTCTGCTTTTCGCAGTGCTTTTGTTGCTAATGCACATTTGGTACACGAACGGGATAGCTGCTCCAGTTGGGTGTCTAAATGCGGCCAGTATACATAACTTCGTGCTAGTGCTTTCATGCGATTTATTCCAGGATGTCCTGCATGCAACTGTTCAAGCACTGCTGGTTGTAGCTTCTTGGGAATTATGACACGTTCGGCAAACAGCAGACAGTCATCGATGATTGAAAGAGAGAGTCTTCGCTGGCAAAACTGTTGAAGCTCTGTGGAACTGATTTTTGACGACCACCCTTCTAGGTGGAACTTTCTAACTTCTTGTAGTGTTGGGTCTCGAAGCGTTTCTTCCCTGACTTCATCTGACGACACTGGAGTGTTTCGAATGGCATCTGCCACTATACTTCGTATTTCTGGGTCTACTGCTGTGGAGGCAATGATTATATCCTCTGGTCCAGGATGTTGAACTCCAATTAATCGGGAGAGAGAGTCAGCTTGACCGATAGTATTTGTCGACTGATACTTGATATTAAAATCATAACTCAGGAGCATTGTTGCCCAGCGCTGTAGTCTATTAGCCGTATAGACAGGGATTCCTTTCTTAGAACCAAAGATTGCAATCAAAGGTTTGTGATCTGTCAGTAGAGTAAATGTACGACCATAGAGCATTTTATGAAATCTTTTGACTGCGAAAATGATTGCAAGAGCTTCCTTTTCAATTTGGCTGTAGTTTCGCTCGGCTGGAGTAAGTGATCTAGCAGCACGGGCAATTGTCTTTTCTGATTTATCCGGAAACACGTGAGATATCACTGCTCCAACTCCATGACTAGAGGCATCAGATGCAACAACAATTTCCAAGCTGGGATCGAAGTGCGTCAAAAGAATCTTTGAGCTGAGCATTGATTTGACTCTGTCAAAAGATGCTTGACATTCTGCTGACCACTGCCAAGGTTTATCTTTCGATAGTAATTCATTTAGGGGACCTCTCACTCGATGCATTTCAGGCAAGAATGTGCTGTAATGACTGATTAACCCCAAGAAGGATCTTAATGAAGAAACACCAGTTGGTGCAGGCATCTTCTGAATGGCTTCGATGTTGGCAGGGTCTGGTCGGCGACCGTTCTTATCTAAGATAAAACCAAGGTATTTGATCGAATGCATGAAGAAGATACATTTTTCCTCACGTAGTTGGAAACCATACTCCAACACTCGGTTAAGGACTTGGTGTAGTCGATCAGAAAGTTCACTGTCAGTTAAACCCATAACTATGATATCATCTAGATAAGCTGCTGTACCAGGTATACCTGTTAGCATCGTATCCATTATTTGCTGAAATATGGCGGGTGCGGTCTTGATGCCAAATGGTAGACGGGTGTATTGAAATAACCCTCGATCAGTGTTAATGGTCAGAAGCTCTCTACTATCTTCATCTACTTCCACTTGGCGATAAGCATCGGAGAAGTCTATTTTCGCGAAACATGTCCCACCATTAAGCTTGGCAAACAGGTCTTTAGGAACTGGTAAGGATATTGATATACATCTAATGCAGCATTTAAACCGGTCGAGGAATCGGCACATATGCGTATAGTCCCATTGGCCTTCTTAATCACTAAGATCGGTGCGGCCCATGCAGAGTAGTTAACTGGTCGGATTACACCAGCCTGTTGCAAGCGATTAAGTTCCTGGTCGACTAGCTCAAGAGCAGCATATGGTACAGGACGTCTCGGGCGAAAAATACGTATGGCATCTGGTTTCACTGGTAAGTGCGCTTTCATCTTGGTACAGTGGCCAAGGCTATTCTGAAAGACAGAGGCAAACTTTCTTTTCAGTTTTTCTAGTAACCTTTCACCTGTCTTCTTTGGAAGTACTGGGGTGTCCAATGATGAACACGATACGTTACAGACACTGTTAATTGGTATATCCATTATTCGAAGTTTGTCTAGCATATCTAGACCAAGAAGATCAAGGTTCGGCCGTTCTGTCAAAATGCAGTCTTCTGACCACTCTAAGCAACAATGCAAGCATGTTTAGGATGCGATTCTCCCCCTCGAAATGCAAAATGTTGCTTCAGGATTGAGTTGCATCGACACCCGTACTAATGATAGGGAGTGAAGAAGTTGAGCGTGTCGACCGCTTCACTTATCTTGGAAGTCTCATCAGCCCTTGTGGTCTGGTGTGTGACGAAGTCTCAGCGCAGATACAGAAGGCTCAACTAGCTTTTGCCAACTTACGTCATTTATGGCGTAGGTGAGATATCCGGCTATCAACCAAAGGACGTGTTTACTGTGCAGCATTTCGTTCCGTCCTACTTTATGGCGGTGAGTCATGGCCGGTAAGAGTAGGAATATTCGTAGGTTACTAGTATTTGATCATAGGTGTCTTCGAAATATTGCTCGTATATACTGGGACCATCGAGTAAGTAATGCAGTTTTTAGGAAACGGGTACTAGGTTAGGATGGTAAAGCAATTGATGAAGTAGTAAAACTTCATCAGTTGAGATGTCTGGGACACGTTACGTATGCCCAACCACCGACTGCCTCGACGTGCGATGTTCAATGGTATAGGAGTAGGTTGGAAGAAAGCTAGGGGCGGCCAGACCAAAGCATGGCACAAGTCCATGCAGTCACTGACAAGTAGATTGAGCAATGTTGGTAGGTGTAGACTACCTGGTTGGGGACCGCGAGATGATAGCAGCCGATGGTTAGAGACCTGAATGACATGGCTCAAAATCGTTTGCAATGGCTCAGGTGCGTACATTCTTTGTGTTCTTCCAAATTTTAATCTCCTGATTCCTCCTTGTCTCTTTTTCTCTTTCCAAATTTATTTCACTGTATTATAACATCTCCAAACCCTAATCTTTCAGATTACTGCCTATACTTTTACTACCTCTAATACTATGGGATTTGAATCGACAACTACATCTCTGTGCTAATGTGGTATGACAACTGGAACTGATGTACATACATACGAAGTTCTACATTGTTACTGACTGACAATCTACCATCTTACACATGTCAATCTCTTTGTACAGTTTTTTTATTGCTAGGAAAGATGTATGATATAAATCATCGTTGATTGTATCAGAAATACATTAATTTTCTCATGAATTCCATGTTCTATTTTCAGACGATTCGTGATTTCTATTGTAATCCCATACAGCTTCACATGATATCTATGATCCAGACTTCATATATGTTCAACAGTTGTCTACAGCCTCTAAAATTTCATGCGATAACAATTAAGTTATGAAATTGAAGGAGTCCAGACACAATAACTGTGCTCTTCCTGGTTCTCGACAAATATCTTTTATTCTCTAGGTTTTCTGTTTTTGATTGTTCAGAGTTTATTTATTTATTTATTTAAACACATAAACATTGGTACAAGGAGGCACCCAACAGATATGCTAACTACAAATCGTTCGATTTATGTGAGTGATGGGATACTATTGGTTACCCAAACCGAAGCAAGTGGTTTTCTTAGGGGGTTACACTCCGAAACTTTGAACTAAAGGTCTGATCCACAAGACGGTGGAGCAACGCAGTCTCATGGTAGCCGGTGACAAATAATTGGTTCATACGCCATTCGTTTCCGTACGATCCTGGAGCCCATGTGCACCATTGGTTTGGAATCAGTGTTTTCCAACTTCCCTAGATGGATCCTACGTATCCACCAACTCGGTTAAAGTGTCGGACATTCGCTTTTCGTCCGCTCAATTTAGTAAACAACACCACTGTCACGAGAAGGTAGTGAGTAGGACTTCCCGGGCATTGGTTGTCTGCACGTGGCCACTTGAGAGCATTCGGAAAGGGAGAACTGACTTTCCCCACTCTCGGCCGTACTAGGGCATTTGGGGGCAGAAACCGTACATTCATTTTAAACATTTACTGAAGTTCACATATTAATTGTTGCCGAGTCGTGGAAGTCTCAGCGTTGTTGGCTATGAATAAACATTACGTCATGTTTTTCATGAGTTTTTACATAACAAAATAGTTTTCGTCGCGAAGTACAATAATCGAAACTCGTGCCATGTATCCCCCCTCCAATTTTTTCTACAGTGTATCCACTTATTCATCATTAATCTATCAATCTTGCCTGTTTTTTTTGTTTTTATAAAGGTTGGAATCATTGTGAAACCATCGATTCTCTTCTTCGAAAAGGTGGTTACCGTGGTAATATAAGTGAGGCATTTCGACAATCAATTCGGCTACTAGATATCGTAGCGAAAAATATAGTGTGCATGCATCAGAGTATTTACGTGCTCGTCAGAATGGTTATCGCGTTTAATATGAATTGTGTTCTGTACGACAATTATTTCAATGTTTGTGTATGAACGAATAATAAAACAATTGGCTGCATAAAAATGTACGCTGTAAATCGCTTATCTAACCTAAATCTATATGGGTACATCATATTTATTCTACATTCTTTGTTTTCTAAGCGTCAATTCCTGGTGTATTTCCTCTTTAACTATCTCCTTACAATTTTCTTTATTCCTTCCATAGTGTTGTTAACCTTTTTCCTTAACGGTTTATCCTCTAATGAAAACTTTGGAAGCTTCCTTTCCAGATAATTCAATTATTTATACAATATGAATTTCCAGTTTAGTGACATGGAAACCAGTGACTAACACATCTGTGTAACAGTTCAGGGAACCTGTATTGTCATCTGTAATATATTAACATCTAAAAGGAGAAAAAAATCATCACTACTGCTTAGTAACTATTGGATTTGTTAATGCACGATACCAATACTACAACAAAAAAAAAACAAGTTGCCTAACTACTGCATTCCAGTCACAATTGTGTGATCCAAGATTTGTTTTTGTTGTCCTGGCAATATGTATGTTATTGTAGTGAATATTGTTATTATTAATACACACTAATCTACTTGTCTTTCTTTAATACAATCGAATTAGACTTGGTAATAAATTAACAAAAATAAAATGATAATCCATATGATATAAGAAAAGAATAAGAGAATATCTATATATATATTATAAGATTGGATCAATCCAAATGATCTATTCAACAGGTTGATTAAATTTTACGAATAAAGACTAAACATTGACCTTAACCAATAACATTACAATAAACGGGTTCCCGTTGTTGTTGTTGAAAGGCTAGCTATGAAATGTTCACTGTAGTGTGTTGTAATTCTCTGTCTTTTTTTTCTTTGTGTTATTTTCGTCTAATGAACTATGAGGTTATGATTATGATTACATTACTGTTTTATCATAATATATATATATTATATATATATATTATAATATATTAATATATATTTTTATATATATATATATATATATATATATATATGAAGTAATCATTTGACAAAACATACTACTGCACATATATATAGATAACACACACATCCCAACACAAGTTGCTATAGTATATATTAATGAGGTTTCCTTTTTTTTCTACAAATTTTATAAGTTTTTTTCTTTTTTTGTTGTTGTTGACTTTAATTAATCTTATTGATAGTTATAATCATGATAATATTGTAAAATGTGGAAAAAAAACCGAACCCAGCCCCGTTTGACAATGATCTATACATACCTATATTGTAACGCTCAATAGTGAATAGAATTTGTTAGAAGTCATCTTTCTCTGTTTCATAAAGATACTTTTGTTACTGTTACAGAATGGGATATATAGATCATTGATTGTTATTGGGTGATATTGTTATGATTTCATCCAAGTCACACACACTGCACGCGCGCAGTATATTCATATTGTATTTTGTATATTTATGCATTTTGTTACAGTACTGTGTGTATTTTGTGCTTATTATGTGAATGAACGTGCCACACACACGCGCAAAGCTATATATATATATATATATATATATATGCAGCAGTTGTGTGCCTTGTACATACTAAACAGAAGGTTCAATTATTGAAACAATTACAGTTTAGGTGTTAAAACACTTATTCATCGTATTATATACTTTATGTATGTTTATCTTTAAACACAATGCTTTAGTGCTAATAAAAATGACCTTTAATTGCTGTATTACGTTATACATATATTATCATTAGTGATATAAAAATTGCTTACATATTTCTGTTTTTTACATTGCAATGTACAATATTGTTATGTTCCTAAGTAGGAGATGCATTTTTCAAGACGTCATTCGGTATAGCGATGTTGCTGAACACATCTTTGATCATTGAAATGATAAGGAGGATGAAGAAGCTTTAGACGATACTAATGAAACTATATGGTCAGCTGATAAATCCTGAAGTAGTGAATTAATCGTTAAAACTATTCAGATTCCAACTACAAAATAGTCGTCGGTTCAAGTCTAGTCTACAAACATTCTACACAAGTAGCTAATCTGATTAGATTAGTGTAGCTCAAAACTTAGTAGATATATTTTCATGTATTTGATAAATATTTTACAACTGTAATAGCTCATGAAATCGAGTTATTGGGTCAAGTGGTGTCATTAAAATAGCATGGTCAGGGAGTGGAATACATTTTTCTCCTAGTAAAATGACGTGCCTATATACAAATTATTTGATATGACATTAGTCATTTGCAATGCAAGCGCCTGGAAAATGCAAATTTAACTGCCCACTCACCAATGAGATTTATTCCTACCATTCGTTCAGTTAACCATTGAATATTAGAGAGAACAATAAAAAGTGACATACTCTGTGAGGGTTTTTTACATTTGATTTACGCTTACTAGTATTACTATTCTACTGTTGCAACTTTGGGTTTTAAACCATGGAATTAATTGGTTTTAAGTAATCACACATAGCTTCACAATGATGATTCTCAGTTTGTCTTGTTATCTTCTGAAATACTGCAATCTATAACTCCTTTAATGTGGTTGAGTGCATAGGCACCAGGTAACACGGAAATCAGAATGATTTTAAAGATCTAGTGTTTTTCGTTACTTTTTCGAACCGAAACAAGTTATCTGGCAAAAATATTCTTTAAGTAGCCTTTTAGTTATTCGCCACCAGATTGATGACATCTGTAACTTTCATCATCCAATTCTTGATAGTGAGAAAAGCACTTGCTTTCAATCCCCTAGTTTCTGTTAATAGGAACCGGTTGCAGACTGTGCTCAGAAGACATTTGATCATGAACAGATTAGTTTTGAATGGATTAGATGTAAGAGGAGAGCTTTATTTCCCCAGTCTCCCGCCGTTAAAAGGATGCTTCTTGAAGAATCTGGAAAACAAACACGGGGTAAGGATGGTTCTTGGTGGATCTGAAAGGGGCAAACTATAGAGGTCAAGGACAACTACTTATGACCTGTCACACGATATTTTGAGTTTTGGTACGTTAACTCCTTACATTTCAGACTACGATCTCAACAGCACTCTGTTGGGAGGAAGGTAGGGTGAAATGTTTTTAGGACCCATCCTTCGTAACTTTGTATCTCTGAAGATCCTAGTTCTGTGGGAAACAACGTATTCGCAGCCTACACTCCAGGACGAATTCCGTTTGTTCAAGTTGTCCGTCACCATCTCCCACCTATAATTATTGTGACCATACCCCCCGATGTAAATGACAATCTGACTTCAAGTCTTATGCTAAAAACAGTTCAATAATTTTAATATCGTATATATTTTGTTTCATGACGTATAATGAAAATGTCTAAAAACGATCTTTTCATCAAGCCAGTCTAAATAGCTGAATACTCTTTAACAGCACAACCATTTTTCAGTAACGGGTTTCCATACAATCTTGAAAATAAATTAAGGTTTTCCATTCTGTAATTTGTATTCCTCGACCTAAAATGATGAGTGGTATGTTATTAATGCAATACATCTCAGTCCTACAGCAGGTCAACCGAGCAGTGACTAACATTACTGAATGCTGTGCGAAGTGAAGAGGTTCCGATTCTTCATGGGACATCAGTTCTCTGAATATTAAAAGTACGTCTTGCTCTCAATCTTAAACAATGTAAAATTTTTGTTTAAGAATTCCTACTTGAAGTGTTTACACATCAAATGCTGATCACAATGGTGATCATATTTAATGTACATCAATAAGATTCCGTTAGAATTAATGGTAGTGATAAAGTCAATGTGCACAGGTCAGTTTAATATCTCACACTATGAGTTGATCTTAGTTAGATAATCATAAGAAATTATGAAGCATCTGAACAGCTCTTTCGTCCTGTTACGGGACCCACCAATAGTGTACATTCATATCCTATCGTAGATTAAACCCAAGACATAAAGGTCTCATACCAACCGCTTAACCTCTAGACCACTAAAACGAAGTCCATAGTTTACATATTCAGATTTCCATTCGCCTTTTAATATTATGTAACCATCTAATCTAATTAGGGATAACTGCCTTATACCATTATGCTTGAACACTGACTTCCGTTTACTACTTTAGCAATTATTTATTATGAAATCATGAACCGAACAATTCCAGGACCATTAGTGGAAACCTGGATTACTGGATAGGCATCTCTTATAGTATGAGACTCTTAGCAGTGTACATCTACGACCTCGCACCACAGGGATCTAACCTAGAAACTTCGATGTCACGCGCAAAACGCAGCATCAATTGTATTAATCCTTTAACTTCAATCTTTCTACAATGGTAATCTAACATTGCTCAGTTCATGATTTTCTTAAACGATTAAAATTTTGTATTTATTTGTATCCACTATTCACATTTATTTATAACATCATTGAATACCGGCTCAGTGGTCTAAACTGTTAAATGCTCGCGCACGAGATTGATAGGTCCTGGGTTCGAATTTCGCGAGACGGGATCGTAGATGCACATTTGCTAAGGAGGAGTCCCACAATAGGATGAACGACCATCCAGTATTTCCATGCGTGATCTACTTTCAATTGACTTATGATCTCAACCAATTCAAATACTTATAATATCCACCAAAAAACCAGTAATGAATTTTTTTGTAATTACAATATATCGATTTCAATTACTCGATAAATTGTCAAGTGATTTAGTTTCTATAGTATAGTTTGGAATTTTTTGTTGCCAAGTGTTTTTCTGAATTTTTGTTTGTTTGTTGTTTTTGATGTAAAAAGTGAAAGAATTAAAATACTGAAGTTTATTTTGTGTTCTGTTGTTGAGGGTTAACTACATTCTTTCAAATAATCAAGAAGATGGAAAATATTTGAAATTCCAGTTATTCTAAATTGATTGATGTGTACAAGGTAAATTTTGTTGTTGTTGTTTTTGTTAGAAACATAACTGTTTTATAAGCAAAGATGGATAGTGGCCAGCAGGGAATCCAGGACGTGTGTTTAATCCTATTTGGACTATCAGCTGGATTTACTCACATCTCAGAGTTGATGTTCACCCTGGGACTAGCACTCAGTACCGTTCAGAGGGATGAATAAATTGTCCTGACAGAAAGCTAGAATAAGCTGTGTGAGCTTAAAATATCCCCCATATAATTCTCTTGACAGTGTAAACAGGATACACTAGGATGCAAAA